GAGAAGGTATGTGAGAGGGTGAATATATTTGCCGAAGAAGACGAAAGCAACCTACACCTTATCGCCAACCTTGAATCCCTTGACCTCGTTACCGATGGCCACAATGACACCAGCAGCTTCAGCGCCAGGAACGGTAGGCATGTCAGGCCACATTGGAATGTCGATGTTGCCAATGCGCGCATCTACCGGATTGAGGCCCGCGGCTTCGACACGAACAAGGATTTCTTCTGGCCACGGGGTGGGTACGCCTCTATCCTTGATAGTGCGAGACAAGGGCTTCGCATCGACGATAAGAGCAAGATTTGTTTGAGCAGACATAATGGACTGGATTGAGATGGACTACATGGACTTGTGTTGGTGTGCTTTTATAATCTGAGTGTCTATCAGCTGATTGAATGCTTTAGAAGCTTCGGTGTAAGAATGTATGGCCGAATGAACCCAAATAGAGGAAAGAAGCCACATCGGTCATCGCCGGGAATCAGTAATCGGGCTTTGTCAGAGTCGGGCCTCAGCCCGAGTCGAACCCCGGCCTGCACACTGACGCAAAGCTTTAGTCGCGTTACCGAGACGCGCTGTGTGCCGTACACCACACCCGATGTTCGTTCCTTCGCTAAATGGGTGACTTGAAGCGAAAGTTTTGGGTGTTGCTGAGTATCGGCATTTCTGTGGTCGCTGATTGAATGCCTATGCAATAGGCGTCCTAAGAAAACAGAAAAAGAGTACGATCCAATCTCGAGTCAAGTTATGAGAGAAAAAATCCAAGGGGTACCACAAACTCGGGCACGGGGAGTCGAACCCCGGACTGCGTGCCATCATCCAATCCAAATCCAATCTCTCGAAATTCTCGAATTGCAAGAAGACGCGCGGTGTTCCGTACACCATACCCGATTAATTCACTTCCTCGTACCTCCGCTAAGGGATAGCTGCGACGGAATCTTCTAGGGATGATTCCGAATTTCTGTGATGCTGGCTGCCTAAAGGAGCATGACATTGAGGACCTGTGCGCGCGATACACTGCGCCCATGCATCGCATCCAGAGGAATTTAAGCTGGAAGGTCAAAAAAGAAGAAAAACAAACGCAACCATCATTCGGGCGCGGGGAGTCGAACTCTGGACTGCACGTCATCATCCAGCCTCTCGAATTGTAAGAAAACGCACGGTGTTCCGTACACCACACCCGATTATTTCGTCCCTTCGTCCCTTCCTTAAGCCAGGGCCTTTGGAACGAATTTCGCAGCGTAACGGTGGGCCTCAGAAGCTGCAGCTCCAATTTCTGCGATGCGGTTCAAATTGAAGAATGTATGTATGCTGCAGCCTCGGCTCAACCACCCGAGGAAAAGAGCACAGAAGCGACGCTGTGAGAGGCCCCCTCAGCTGAACCGCACCTCGGGAAGTCGAAGCCAAAAAAAAAAGGGGAGTTAAAAATGCGGAAAGCATTGGCGAGTCGGGGGCGGGGAGTCGAACCCCGGACTGCGGGTTACTTTATTAGGACGCTCAGCACTACGTACTTGGACCCGCGGTGTTCCGTACACCACACCCGAATACTTATCCCTATGCATCCCTTCTCTAAGTCGGGGACTTGAAGCCAACACTCACAGCATCCTTCTCAGCAGCTGAGGTTCCGAATTTCCTGGGTGTGTAAATTTCGTAGCATCAATCGGATTTTTTTGTAGCGCCAGCCAACAACAGAGAGCATACACGATGAGTTTTGGGCGAGTTCTCCACGTACTCGCAGCAGCTGAGGATTAGAAGCTGAAGCTACGAAAAAGGTTGGCTCGGATCTTCGATTCGGGTGCGGGGAGTCGAACCCCGGACTGCGGGTTACAGACAGCTTTAACGAAGACGCGCGGTGCGCACAGCGTACACCACACCGGCGCATTTACGCTGTTCGTCTCTTGGATAAGGCAGGCATTTTAGACAATCGGACGCTCAGTGTCAACCTCGAGTATTATGAGCTGTGCACGCGTGCACGTGCGCACCGGGGTGTGCGCCCCCAGTGCGGAGCCGCGAAGCTAGCCGTAAGTATAGGCGTTAAGAGGCCGTGAGCTCCGGCGCGGAAAGCTCGGAGGCGTGTGGGCATCCCGACGGCTGGGACAACTGGGGATTCTTCGGGTCAGGCTCAGGGGCTTTGCGCGGGACCAGAGCGGCAAGACGGCGAATGTACATCGCATGCGCCGTGGGGACGAGGCACATATGCAAATGCGAATGCAAATCGCGCGATTTGCGATTAGCTCGCGTTGTGCGCGGCGTTGGGACAGGCAGGTACGCGGGATAAATGAGTACTATATAGCTAATATAGCTATATCTATCCTCGTGCACGCCGCAAATGTCAATGCGATGGCCTGCTCGAGAACTCGCACATAAGGCACAATCTCCGGCCCGAGTGCTCACGAGGATAGAGCGGTATTATCTATCTGATAAGTCGCCGGGGCTCATGAGAACGGGACACGTACATAGGCTGGAGCACGGCGATATCGATATCATACGGAGGCCCAGAGAAGGCAGAGATAAGATTCGCGGGGATGTGTATGCGGGGTCTTGTGGGGAAACGTGATCAGGGCCGGGAAATCGACGCGAGGACAATAGAATTCGAAGCAGGGCGTACGTGGCCACACGTACGCCATTCGATTTCTGGAGCAAGGGTGACGTATCGCGCGCCGGCGTCAAGGGCTGGGACGTCCCTGCAACGCAAAAGGTGAGATTCAACGTTAACGGCCCAGGTGAGTACGAGAGGTCGTCAACGGCAACGGCGACTAAACGGCGACGAGGGCAGACGACAGCGTTAATTAATGACAATGTGGGCACAACGAATGGCCGGGGCGTAAGCACGCTTGCGTCACCTTCAATCCGAAACGGGCGCCACTTCGCACGCCGGTGTGTCTTTAATCTTATCGTCTGCTGTTGTGCGACTTGCACAGCTGCAGTGCGGGGCTGGCGATGGACCGATGGATGAATGAATTGGGGATCTGCGAGACACACGGACGGCTTGTGTATGATAGACAGGCGAGGCGGCCCGGGGGCGATCAGGGTTGGCGAGGCAATGAAGACGCCTCGACCGGGTCCTGGGCTTTCGTCTTTGGCCTGACCTTCGTTGGTCCTCGACGCCGTTGCGATGTTCATCCTGCCCGCGGACGCCCGGTCTTTCGCCGCCTCCCAGCCTTTCGCCGCCGCCCCGCCCGCCCCGAGCCCTTGGGGCCTGGGCCTCACTGGCACCTGGCCCGTAAAGAACTGACGCTGAAAAATCAAATGTAAAAAAGGTCCTTCTTCCGACCTTCGGGCGCGGGGGGTCGAACCACTGGGCACTACAGCGCTGGCTCCACGATGACATCAAGACGCACGGTGTTCCGTACACCACACCCGAGTCCTTGTCCTCTTCGTCTCCCTGCCAAGTGATTTAAAGAGGGAATTTTGCAGCACTGCGAGTCAAAAGCCGAGGTTCCAAATTCCTTAGGTGAATAAATTTGTCGCATCATTTCCTGGAAGGAATCAGGACCACGCGGCGGGGCGTATAACTAATATGTTGAAGCTGTGGAGACCGGGAGCCTGCGGCTCAGTAATGGCGACGGGGGGGGAAAAGTTCACATCGATGGATCATTTCGGGTGCGGGGAGTCGAACCCCGGACTGCTCACTTCAATCTCTACAGAACTTGCAAATGAAGACGCGCGGTGTTCCGTACACCACACCCGATTAATTGCCTTGTTCATCCCTTTCTTATGGCAGAGACCTTGGAGCTAATTTTGCAGTGGTGCTGCTCAGACGGGGAGCTTCGAGATTCCTGTGATGCTGGCTGAATGACTTTTTGCAGTTGACCTAAGAGGAGAAAAAAAACAAACGCGAAACCAAGCGTTTCAGGTGTAATTAATCGCCCCTCAGGAATTCTAGTCTCCCTAGTCAAACCATAAATCAATTTTTTTTTTTTATAGATTTGGTGGGGGAAAAAAAAACCTGATTATGGTCTGATTTCGTTGGCGCATCCCATACCGTAGGTCGGTGTTCCCGATTAGGAAATGCCCAATTGGGAAACGTGCTTTGGAGCTCAGTGAAATTCTGGTGAACCGTGAGTCCCCCAGAGTTGATATAAATGACTTTCCAAGGTATTCTGTCTCCAAGTTTTCGTCTTGGACCAAAAAACTGGGGCGTGGTACATGATTTAGTTTCTAATGATGTGGCTGTGCACGAAACTCACACGAAAAGGATTTCTATTTCTGAGGACAGCACGCAAGGATAAATCAAAAGGAAAATACAGGGAGATACCTAAGCATGCTATCTACGGTTGTAGCTACTTTATAGCATGTAATTGCATGTAGTCGCTACAGAGCAGCAGCCGCGGCGGAAGGGGGACATACGGTTATCACCTGACCAACGAATCTAGACTATAGGAATTCGAAGTCAGAGGAATTGAAGCCGCAAGAGAAAAGAAAAAAACCATGTTTCCGTCGCAGCATTTGGGAGCGGGGAGGCGAACGACTTGCGAGGAAACAGTACTGTAACCAGGTCGCAGCCTCGGACGCCAGGGACGAAAAATTCTCGAGCTTGTTTTCTGTTTTAGGGGGAAAAAAACTGGAAACTAGAGACAAATTCGGGTGCGGGGAGTCGAACCCCGGACTGCAGGTTAATATGCTTCAAACAATCAAGGCTTGACAAGGAGGCCCGCAGTGCCGTACACCACACCAGAATAATTCCCCTTCTCGTCCCTTGGTTAGGCGAGGGACTTGGAGCGCAGCTTTGGCATTGGTGCTAACCAGAAGCCGAGTTCCTGAATATTGAACAACTCCCTCAATCTCCCTCGATCTGCCTCATTTCTTCATTCTGCCTCGATCTGCCTCAATCTCCTTACCTGGCTTTCTCACTGGGCCTGAATCCTGCATCTCTTCAAGGCTAGTTGAATATAGGTATCCCCCAGGAGCGAAGAACTCGACAGAAGGAAACAGCGCTGACGCGAATCCAGAGCACATATACAAGCCGAAAAAAAAAGAATCCCGAAACATGGTAGGTCTGATTCGGGCGCGGGGAGTCGAACCCCGGACTGTGCGTCATCGGTGTCACATCTTCGGTAAGACGCGCCGTGTGCCGTACACTACACCCGAGTAATTACCCTGCTCAGTCCTTGGTTAAGTGAGGAATTTTATAGGATATGCTAATCAAAAGGTGAGTTTCACCTCGACCCGGGGTGAGCCGTTCCATCAGCACGAAGTTCGACTGCACGAATTTCCGGCCAAGAAAATGAATCTCTTTCTATGTTCTTAACGTCTGGCCCGAGAGAATGCGAGGCTGAGGAATAAAAAATGAAAAAAAAGAACTTCTGGTCGACGCCCATTATTCGGGTGCGGGGAGTCGAACCCCGGCCTGCGCGCTGACGCTAAATTATAGTCGTAGACTCGTAGTACCGAGACGCGCTGTGTGCCGTCCACCACATCCGAATAACTACCCTCCTCGGTCCTTGGTCAAGGCAGGGACTTTGAAACTGATTTCGCAGTGCTGCAATTCAGAAGTTGCGTTTCACCTCGACCCTGGCTTTCCCCCGGGCCCTTCCATCAGCACGAAGTTCGAGCGCACAAATTTCGGGCCAGGCAAGTGGATTTCTCGTATGTATATTCCTAACGTCTGGACGGCGGGGACTGGCAATGAAAAATCAAATGTAAAAAAAAAATGTCGGGCGCGGGGAGTCGAACCCCGGGCTGCGCGCGAAGCCACAGAATTCGCGCTTCAAGTCCCTCCCTTAACAAAAGAACGAACAGGGCAAAATACTCGGGTGTGGTGTACGGCACACCGCACATCTTTCTATGCATTTGATGGCACTGACATTGGAGTGCATTCAGAACCCGACCCTCCGGGTTTCCTCGGTCAAGAAATGTTGTAGCCTCAGACTTGCGTTAGGAGCATCCTGTCAACAGCACACGGCGGGGCACCCGAGGGTATGAGTTATGATCCGGCTAGCGGAGGGCCCAGGAGAGTACCGAGCACGTAGTCTAATTTGAAGGCGAGAAAAAAAGTTTTATTCAACGCCTACAATTCGGGTGCGGGGAGTCGAACCCCGGACTGCCGGGCAGCCTTTCAGGAAATGTTCAACAAGGAGGCCCGCGGTGTACCGTACACCACACCCGATTATTTCACCCCCCTTGTCCCCTTGCCAAGTGAGGATCTCAACCGGGCCTTTTGCAGCTCTAAACCGATTTTTTTGATGCTGGTTAATTTGTACCTTGATTTTGCACAGGGCGAACGCAATTTCGGAACAGCGTAGCGGACGCCTACAGAGCCATAGCGAGTCTGACACTGAAAGACAGAACAAAAAGTCTTAGCTCCAGACTCATTCCGGCGCGGGGAGTCGAGACCCGGACTGCGCGCCATCGGTGCCACACATCTTCGGTACGGAGGTGCGCGGCGTTCCGTACACCACACCCGACTATTTTCGTTCTGTGCACCGTGCCCTGCCAAATGAGGCACCTGAAGAGCAATTTTTGCATTGGTGGCTAATCAGAAGTTGAGTTCCTGAATCCTGCATCTCTTCGAGGCTGGTTAGATATGAGTATGTCGCAGGGGCAGTAGAGAACCGACGTTCACGCATCGTGAGTTGGACCGGGCCGAAGGGTTGCCGAAGGGTGCAAATTTGCGGGGATCCGCTTCATGGGGGTAAAATGTTGGCAGGCGTTCACACGTGATGCGGTGTCATGAAAGTTTACGTAATGGCTTTACGAGTCCTAAAATTTATTTTAGGTCTCGTTCTTTCATCCCGTTCTCTCTGAGATTTTTTTTTCAAGTTTCAGTAGCTAAGTTCTCGCGTTTTCCTTGGTATCACGTCACAAGGTGATTGATTGCCATTTTTTTTGCCGTGTGCTCTACCTACCTACTGAATCTCTCTTTTTTCTCTTGGCACCCTCTCTTTCCACCTACTGAATCTCTCCTTTTTCTATTGGCGCTCTCTCCTTGCCTACTTAACCTCTCTGTTTGCTCTTGGCCTGTGCTAGTTGCCTTTTTGGCTCCTTCGTCGCCGAATCCCGATGCTTTCCTCTTTCATGCTCTGGCCTGGCCTTGTGTTCGTGCTTGGCCGTCCTTTCTTCTTTTCCACTTACCTGTCCTTAGCTGCCTCCTCTTGCTCTGTGTTACCCTTCTGGCCTTTTCTGGCCTTTGCGATCATTCTAGCTCTCCCAAAGCTCTCCTCTCCTCTGTCACTGACTCACTATCCACCTTCTGGCGAAGAGCGTTTTTTCCTTTCTCTTATGATGTTCTCTGCTCTCTGTGCTAACTCGGCTGCTCTATAAGATTATGTCCTTTCGTGTCTTAGCGACCATGTGCCTTGTGCCTGCTCAGGTTTGATCTGTGCTCGCTGCTATCTTCGACCCTTGGTCCAATTGAGCGTATCCTTCCCCGTCCCTCGTGGAGTTCGGGCTTATGCTTCTGCTTCCGCTGTTAGCCCTTCTGCTGGAGTCGGATAGACACAGGAGCTTTATATCCAGCTTCTTGTTTTTCTTTTCTTCAGTCTCCGGCCTCCGTTGATAACGTTGGTGGTTTTACTCTTCTCTTGGTTCTCCTTCTTCTCTGATTCCTTTTTCAGGATGGCTCCCGCTGCATCTTCCCTCATGCATTGGTTTCCGGACGACATCTGCTCAGACATTTTTTGATGTGTCTGTTTGACCCTCCCTTCTCCTTCACTGAGTTTCTCAAGCTTCGGGCTAAATTTGCCCGCACGTCAAGTCAATGGTGGCGTTTTTTGTTGACCATGCCGTTCCGTGTCGTTGTGTCCTTGTGGCAGCCTATTGCTGCTTTTCAGCTCTCGGTTTCGCAAGCAATCTCCTGTCCTTTGCGCCTTTACTTGGCTTTCAACAACTCCGAGTCGTACACCCTTCCACTTTTTCCTCCGACATACTCGATCGTCTACGGGCGATCTCCCCGTACTTACATCGCGCTTCATTCATTTGGATCGAATCGGACAGTTCAGACGCTCTCATGGCTGTCCACGCTTTTGGCTCTTCATTGAGCGTCCCTCTCCTCTCTACGCCTGTCGTATGACATCGCCACGCTTTTACGATACTCGACGTCGAGGGAGATCCCATTCTCCCTCCCCTTATCATTCCGCGACAGCTGGTCATTTCACAAGCATAACTGTGGACAAATCAGGAACGTTATCGTACCACGACGGCATAACGACCGGAAGACATTGCGTCGACCGAGGAAAATGGGGCGACATACAAGACCTCTTGAGTTTGCAGCGGATCAACGGAGAACGTCTAAGTGCAGTTATCTACGCTCGGGATCAATAGTAGAGGGGGAGAGACCGAGAGTAGCATAGTTTACCTGAACCAGCAGTTTGCCTGTGCTTCGCTACGGGACCTTTGCAATCAGAAAAAAAACTGCAGGAGCTGAGACTCCGAGAGTTAATCATGCCACTCGTCACCAACCTTTGGTTGGTTCCTCGTGGCCTGAGTTTCACCGGATAGAGATCAGAATTCAACATCTTCTCTCGCGGTCTCACCACACATAATGGAACAGCTAATTGGAACCAACTTAACAGTTGGTCTTGCAAAAAAGAGTCTACTTCTACCTTCAAGCTCACCTTCATCCAGCAGCGACTGGCAGTAGATATCATCTTGGAACATGTATAATGGTCTTGGACATATTTCATTTTCTCAACCCGGACATTGTGACTTCATCTGTCCAACCTATATTCATCATTCCAGGCAATTCGAGATCTCGAGACATCTTGGGCCGCGCTTCCATCAAATTCATCCTGCAAATGAGTATGCAAAATTCTTGTGGTTGCCTTCATCTTCCCTAGTTTTCATCTTCACATGGCCCTTGTCAGACTCCCATAAAATAACTTGGCCCATTGTGCTGGTGGACACGGATGACAGCAATCGGAGTCGTGCCAATATGCAATATGACTTCAATCCCCATATATCGCCGCCTTCATCTTCCAGTCCTCATCCCCATCCGCAAATGCTACTCATAAATTGAGTCCTTGATGCCTCCTCCTTCATTCAACTCATCATGGTCCCTTTGTTCAGTGGGAGCTCGGTGCGATCCCGGGGGATCCCAGACTGTCGGAGAGGAAATTATTCAACATCTCAGCAGTTTATAAATAGCAATCCCACTGTTGGGTGGAGAATTGAACAGTCCGGTGGTGCAGTGGAGCGTGTGACGTTGCGTGGAGCGGTTTATCTGACACCAATGGCCCGGCAGCCAATTAAGTTGTGTGGTCAGAGACAAACGACGTTCGATTCTTATATAGATATATACCGCATGCCCTAAGAAAAGGAGAGGGAGGGATGTACTTAGATCAGTTTAAAAAGAGTAAATGAAGTCCGACCGGTGTCACATTTCCGAACTCCGATTGAAACTACGACGGGACTCGTATTAGCCATCCGAAGCAGCGACACGTGATATTAAGCCCCCATGCTACGCGCAGCGTTTTGCCGACAACTTCACCTAATCTCTCGCACTTGCGCTAGATTTCGCCACATATCGACATCCACAGAGCCGACGAACCAGCGTCTGTCGGTCGATCCTGAAGGCAGGACTGTTGTCGACTTGACCTTCGCTTCAGAAGCTTTGGGGATGCCAGCCGCACAAGGCTACGGCTGGGCACAATTTGAATTTGGTGACTCTGTCGGAAATGACCAGCGGTACACGATCCTGCGGAAGGTGGGCTGGGGCATGCACTCTAGTACCTGGCTGGCTCGCGACGAAATGTAAGCGCTGTCCATCCGCTTCATGAAAGGACGTTCGCTCAGTGTAAACATAGCGGCAATGGATTCGTTGCAGTCAAGGCGCTGACTGGCCATATGACCGAGATGAATGAGAAGGCTGTATCTTGGGAAGCTGAGGCTCTCAGGCTCTTGTCTGCTGACCCTCCGTCACCGCATTGCGTGCGACTCTTGGACGAGTTTACCATTCCCGGCCGTGGCTCCGCTGGCTCTCATCTCTGTTTCGTGCTGCCCATCTATGGGGGTGACTTGAAAGCTCTCAGTAACTCCCGCAAAACCCCTTTTGACCTCCCGACGGCCAAGCGTATCATTCTTCATCTTCTACGTGGCATAGCTCACACGCATAGCCGTGGCGTCGTGCACACCGATATTAAACACGACAACAT